GCTTGTGTGCGATCCCTTTAAATGGACCCTTGGATCTGACCTGAAATGCTAGTGAGAGCTGGAATTGGAGATCTGTCTCTGGAAAGTAGTACAAATTGTCTTGATCTTAAAGAGTACAAGATGGGTCAGGGGTACATCCCTATTGCTTTCGTAAGTTACTGCTTTCTTATTTTTTATTGATGGGATAAAAGCAAACAACTGTCCAACCTTCTCAAGTTGCTGTCTTCAAGACCAGCATTTTTCCTTTGCCTTGTTCTCCCCTGAGCTGTGCATGATATCCAGCTTGTAGGGTGGAAGGCTCTGGCCATGGGGAAGAAAAATGGTATGATGACACAGGTTCTGTCACTGGATTCAGGCATCTCTCATAGACTGTTTTTCTGCTTGTGCTTACATACCATAAGAAGACTCCAGTTCTGCAGGAGCTTCTGGTGAGTCTGGCTTGGTTGTCTCTTGTTTCTTGCTGTGGCAGAAGGTACCACCAGTGCCTTTTCCTCCCCCATCGTTTTATTGGAGAAAAGAGCAGGTCCTACTATTTCACTTGACTTTCTTTCCTGAATTTGGGCTGGGGTAGGAATTATGAAGTCAGTCTTTCCAGATCCATGTGGTTGAAGTGAAGTACATTTCACACATAATGGAACTTTTTTCATAACTTCACCATTATTGATTTTAGTTCAGTTACGGGTGATGCTTTTGTTGCTTAACTACCCCAAACAAATTTGGACTTGTGGTGAATTAAAAGGTTAAATAACACAGGCACTGTAACATACAGCAGGCAATTGTGGGTGGGGGAACAGAGCAAACAGATGAGCTGGAGATCAGCCAGGGAACGTGTCCTACTGGCTCTCCTTGTGGGACTATAGTGAAGCACTGGATTGACACCATTGTGAGAACAAAAGTATTAGAGTATGTAGCTTTGCACAAACAGTTTACTGCTAAATAAAGGTTACGCACATGCCTAAACTACCAAGAAAGTGATGCATGTGTGCCCCAGAAAAATAACTATGCTTCCAAATCGAGAATGTGCATTCAGGGGAAAAAAAAATTTCCTCCTTTCATATGCTAAAACATCAGAGGTACTTGCAACTATTTAACAGTAAAGGTTGGAGTGGACTATTGCAGTAGTGTTGCTGAGAAAAAAATACATTGCATTTGTAGAAGGTGTGACTTTAAAGGATTTATGGGTGGTTTGTGGTGTGGTTTGAGGTCCTACGTTGATGCAAGAGATCCACTGACAGTCACTGTATATTCTGTGACTGGTCAGCCTGAGGATTCAGAGCATGTCACTTGAGGATGCAGTGTTAGAACATGAGGTTTCTGATCCTCTGTTCAAGCACCTCTGGAAACATTCCCTTCTACTTTTGGCTAAAGATGGGATGAAGATAGAATTGGTCACTAGCAGGCATTTGTACATCTCTGCCAAACTTTCTCCAGAAGTAGCCATTACAGACAAAAAATACTGAATATTGTGGTAGTAGGCATTGTAGAAACTTACAGAGGATAGGAAAAGTATGTGCCTATAGGACTGTATGTTTAGATCTTTTTAACGGTATAAAGTGAGATAATATTCCCCAGTCATTTCCCTGCTGCTTGAAGTAAAATATGCTTTTCTTTAAAGTATTGCACAGCTGTCTCTTTAGAGAGCTTATTTATAAGTGTCCAGAAAAAAACAAGACTGGATAACTGTATTTCAGCAGTAAGCAGGAATTTTCTGTCAGGCTACCTCTGTGTATCTCTAGTTGTAACCACAGAGCATTTTCTGCGTTTGTCATTCCTGCTGCTAGCTATTGTTTTATTGCCAAAGCCTCTCTGAAGATTGTATATCCTGAGACATGTCTCCAGAATACTGATAACTTGGGATTCATATGCAGAGAGAACACAGAGTACAAGCGAGAATTACGCAGTATGTGCTTTGTGCTGTCAGGATGTATTATTTGGTGTTTCTCCAAGCTAGGCTTATGATTGCCATATGTGGACTAGCAAAAGATACGCATAAAGGTGCTTTCCAAGGACAGCAAACAATGGCAGACAAAGTTTGTGTTGTTCTATTTCAGTACATGTCAGATCATAGCTATCCTGAGGAATTGGAGTCTGGAGGAGACCAGAGATCAGATGAGTGAGTTTTGCCAGGTGACCGGTCAACCTATGACATGCCAGGGTGTTAAGAGCCTGGCAGTGCTAGGAAATCAAGTAAGGTGGGAAAGAACACAATCAGAAAGGCAATATACAACTGATTCACTAAATGTTATCATCATAGACCTTAATGGGAGTGTGACAAAACGTAAAGTGGTATATTTCTTCTCACTAGCACTTCTTTATATCATGACTAGCCTCTCTAAGAGCACTGTCCACAAATGTGAGCCGAATTTCCCTTGGATTTCTTCTTTCATTTGAGTTTTACTACTTTGATGTGGAAAAAACTTGATTAAACATAGTAATTTTCTGTGAGGGTTTTTCTTATGTTTTATTTTTTGTAGGGTTTTTTGTTGTTTTGTTTTTTGTTTTTGTTTGTTTCTGTCTTTTAAAGAAAGACAAAATGTCTTATTAAGAAAGACTTAAATGACTATTCTTCCTTCTTGGATATTTTTTGAAGTAAAATAATTATAACACAAAGGCAACATCATTTCTCCAGTGACTGTTTTCTCACTCTACTACACTATGGTTTGTTAATTCCAAAATCAGCTAATGTTCAAAGAAATGAGTAGTGCTTGCTTTAAGGCAGAATTTCTTCTCATGTTATGGTAACTATATATGCATGGAAGGGAAACATAGAAAGGACTTTAAAACTTTGTGAAGAAGTCATTTTAGCAGTCTTTTTTACCTTGAGGCAGGGCTCATGTTTCTTGACTTGCATATGACGAAGGCCATGACTTTTTCAAAGGTTTGTGTGTTATTGGATTATACTGCTTATTTTGCCTGTCATTCTTAGCCAGGAAGTTATGACTTTTGTTTCTTTTCCATGACAAATGTAATGAAGAAAAAGTAGTGGAAAACTTCTGCATAAGTTGATTTAAGTGTCAATGATGGTTAAGTGTTCATTTCAGCCTGGCTTGTACCATCTTGTCACTAGCTAGAAAAAGGGATGTGCCAACTGGTTTGCTTTGATAGCAATACTGGCTCTGAGCGGTGTTGTGTTCTATCATGCCTTACGTCTCTTTTTGTTGTTTTCATGAATGACAATAGCACTAATACTATATGTAATGTAGGAGGACAGTGATGAATGTGGGGGTTTTTAATTTTTTTTTTTGCATCCCTCTGTCAGGCAGTAGCCTTCTGTAGTAGGAGGGAGAGGAATCTGGTTTGAGAATGTCATTCATGCTTTTGGCTTACTGTTCGTACTTTAGAATTGGGTTGTAGTCAGGTTTTTCTGTTGCTTTTAGCACACTGGCCTTTTCCAAGGCTCCTTGCTCTGTGCACTGGAGAAATTCACAGGTATATTTTATCCAGTCTGTCACTGGCTGCAAAATTAAAAAGGTTTGAGTACTGTGCTTGTTTACTACTTGCTCCATGACAGTTTTGCTTGGGAAGCTATGGAAGTGGTTGCAGACTATGTGAGGTATTGTATTAGAGAGATTGGCTACATGACTATATGTTCTGAGTGGTCCAAACCGAGTATTTTAAAAAATGGAAAAAAAAAAAAAAAAATAAATCACAGTTCTAAAGCCGCAGGTGTGAGCAGTCATTTGTTAACAATGTTACTAACAAATTTTGGAAATGGGATTATGATAACTTCCTTTAAAATTATTGCTGTTTTGGGATTATTTCAAAGCAGCAAAGGGAATATGAGCAGGGAAGAGGAAAAGGATGAAGAACTCAATAATTCTGCAAATAAGGAGCTGTTGAGGTAAAGGTTTACGTTGTTGCTTTTCAAGCCACAGCTTCATCCAGGAGTTAGTAGGAAAAGCAGTAGTCCAAAGCACTCGGCTTGGGTTCGGGCCTCTTAGAGGAAACACATGGAGAAATGTCTACTACAGCAGTGTGCTTTGCATTGACCTATGCCACTGGGGAGGTGAATGAAGAAATAGTGATATTTCAGCTTTTTTGCTGCCAAACCTTTGGTTTAGGAAGCTGTAACTGTTCCTGTGCAAACTCAACTGCAATAAAAAAGACTTTGTACTTGCTTCTTGATATGACCCATCTGTTCAACATCAGCCAAACTCTGGTTAAAATGTGTTTAAAAAAAAAAAAAAAAAATAGTTCCTCAGGATTACTGGTGTCACAATGGAAGCTCTGCTTCAAAAGGGGCAATGGCATTAGAAGCAGACTGTGATGACTGTCATATCTAAAACACAGCATATGTGGTTTGCCATATGATAGATCTAACCTAAGTTAGTGCAAACCATTTCCCAAGATAAGTCCTTAAACTGCCTTATGTCCTACTAAGAGACTTAACATAATTTTCATTTTTTCCTGCTACCTGATTAGTTAGTAGCTGTACTTTATTTATATAATGAGTTTTTGGCACTGTACATACTTGAAGTTGAAATGGCCGGGTATCTAGTTTGTCAAAAGTTGGTGTCACTTCTAATTTTTGTCAATTGTTGCAAATACTGAGCATAACTGCTAAATTCAAGGTGGTGTTCTTGCTATTGACTACTTTTTCTATCATAACATGTAACTGTGTGCTTGCATAAACAATGTATATGATACCTAAAATGCCTCTCAGCTCAGGAGTTAAGTTTTGTTCAAATATCTATTCTGACTTTCTGGCAGACTAATTCTCATAGCTACAGAAGCAGTAAAATTCCTTGTGGATTTCTTGTAGAGGGCTCTAGAAGAACATTTCGTTGTTCATTCCACATGTTAATTCAGAAATATTGTATATAACCACCCTTTTTATCTCTCTTTTGAAGGTGAAGATTTTAATTGTGTTTTCTTGCTGTACTGCAGAACATTTATTTGCTATAGTTTTCTACCTTTTTTTAAAACAAAAATGCAAACAGAACTTGTACAACTGAAAGCTTGAACATACTTGTTATCCCTCAGCATTGTTTCTTTTCCAGGGAGTGCTGTCCAATATCTCCTCCATCACCGACCTGGGAGGCTTTGATCCAGTTTGGCTCTTCCTAGTAGTAGGAGGAGTTATGTTCATTTTGGGATTTGCGGGATGCATTGGAGCTTTGCGAGAAAATACCTTTCTTCTCAAATTTGTAAGTAGCCTTTGCAACTGTGGCATAGCATAAGTCATGCTCTCTGTTTCTGCTTAACCGGGTGAAGATTTTAAAATGTCTTTTGGGGAGCAGAATGTGTTATCTGATGTGAGAGTACTGTTTTGTGAATCACTTTTGCTTAACTGTTAACACTTTACAGATCTTCAATCTCTGGTGCTTACTTTTTTTAAGGTTCGAAACTATTGAAAGTAACAATGGTGGCATGGAACTACTGCTTTTCATGGGGATGTAACCTGACATTTTGCCTTCCTGTCACAAAAAGAGAGAAATGTCTACTAATTATCTTCATGTTGAATTTAGCAAGCTACCTATGAAATATAAGGAATGTACATACACTACTGAATGTGACCTGTGTGATTTCTGCTGTGTAAGTGCCCCTCATGGTACAGAAGAGATTGGACTGTTACGAGGGGTTGCTTGCTGACATCCTCAGTTCTGTGATGTTTAACGAATTTGAAAAGGCTTCATTGCTTACTGTCAGTGCTGGGGCTTGAGGGGGAGAAAGGGAGGAGAATATGCCCAGGATAGGTAAAGAAAACAGAATTTGTCGTCTTGAACTCTGGGCTGGACTGTTAATTGGGGAAAGAGTTGCTGATACACAAACATACCTCAGTATTCAAAACTCCTTTAGCTAAGTAGCCAGGTTCTGGATTTTGAAAGCCTTCCTCCTGTGAGCTTTGAAGATTAGGATAACAGTATCATATTCCATTATAGGTACATTTAAGAATTATTATAAAAATTAAAGATTCTTTCCTCCACCACTCCAACTTCCAGAGGTGGGCACAGTCTGGGTAATAGCTGTGTCTTCATAACCATTAACTGCTAATATATATGTGAAAAGGCTTCCAGTGAAACAACTGCCTTCAAGTGACATATTTGTCTCCCACAAACATGTTGTATTAAGGGGAGGAGGCAGTTGAGAGTTACAGTGCTTGAGGCATTTATAAAGCAGCTTGGGATAGTTCTAGTTTGCTCTTGTCTTGCTTAAGAAAAAAAAAAAAAAAGAGGAGGGGAGCTATTGTAACACATTTTTTTTTTTCCCTTGCTTCTCTTAGCTTGCCTAAAATGAACCCATCTGCTGTACCAGAAATAGCTTCCTATACAGCAGCTGCAGGAGAAATTAAAAATGCATCTAAACAAACACAGAGAGCATATTAAAATGGAACTCAAAGGCGCAGTTGCAAAAGGGATGGACTTCCAGTACATGAGGACCCCTGTGTGTTTTAAAACAGTGTAGATTCAGTGGAGATGCTTAGAGAAAGTGGCAGATCATTAGTAATGCCTTTGGCATCCATTGCATTTGCATTAATCATAGCAGCCTCATTTGGTTTTAATGTGGATGTGAGTCATTCTATAGACATTCTGCTCTTACTTACTCATTAATTAATTTCTGCTGTTACCAATTTCTGCTTTGTCTGTTTAGGCAAAGCTTTACCAATAAGGATGTCTAAAGAAAAAGTCACTTCGAAAGCATTTCACTGGCACTATTGGTTGTTTATGCCTTTGAAAATGCAAGTGCCTACACAGAGATTTAAGATGAGTTTTCAGAGGGCCCCTCAGGTGATGTGTAGCCACCTCTGAAATTGACAGTGAATTGTCTTGAATGACTTTGAAAAACCCAGTGAAATGTCCAAAGTTTGAATTTGTTGGCATTTTTATTATTTGTTAGAATAGAATTGAGAGTCCTGTGCTACAGCCCAAGTTAAAAATGGTGTATTTTTAATTTATAATTTCCTGTGTGCTGGAATATCTTGAATTTACACTGACACAGATAAAGCCCTAACACTGGACATAATTGTAAGCCTTGAAAAATGAGATTTGGTCATAAAGCACAATAAGCTTTTTTTCTTTTCTTCATAGTTTTCTGTGTTTCTTGGAATTATTTTCTTCTTGGAGCTTACTGCTGGTGTTCTAGCATTTGTTTTCAAAGACTGGATAAAGGACCAGCTGTATTTCTTTATAAACAACAACATCAGAGCATACAGAGATGACATTGATTTGCAAAACCTCATAGACTTCACACAGGAATATGTAAGTTGGACTATGTTTTATTTTTCCTTAAAGCTTACTTTAAAGATATACCTACTCTAGTTTTAACTTCCCATCTGTTTGGTTTCTTCCAGGAACAAAAGAAATATTCTAGCATATAATACTTTTGAATATATATATATGTATATTTCTCTTTACAGAACTTCTGCAAACACACAGCACCTGTGGAAGGTGGCTTATTTGTTGATCTATGACTGAGCAAAACAAGGTGGAGAATTGGGGTGACTTATTGAAGACTTAGAGATAGTGTGTCAAATCTACAAGATAACTGTTAGTGTCTTGTGTTCAGTTTTTTGGAGCATATTCTATATGTGTAGGAAGACATTTTAGGGTTCTCGGGGGGAAGGGTGTTCAAAATATTTTATTGTAGGTGCTGTCACATCTGTTTAAAAAAATAATCCTTTTATAAGCTTAATTTGGTTCAGAGATGAATCTTGGTGTAGGTTTAGTAGCATTAGAGGTGCTACACCACACTGCAGAGTGGCAGGTATATTTAGCTGGTCTGAGTGAAACCACAATGTAATTTCTTTTTAAGTAGACTTAATGCAATTAGCCTAATGAAGTGGGCAACTCATACAGTTCTCAGAAAATCTCTAAACGATGCTATATCTGCACTTGGGAGGAAAGGGTGAAACCAGAGATGCACATGCTTGTGTGGGTTAAGTTATGTAACTTGTCAGTGTCTGTAAAGGAGTCTTGCACTGACTTTTGCACCCAAGTTATTTTGCCAGTACTTTCTTGCTCCAGTACTCAACTCTGACCTGTGTTGATGAATTTTTATGTGAATTTGGCCTTGTGTAGCTAGCACGGTTAAATGTTGATTGAAATAATGTTTACTAATTTTTGGACATTCTGCAATTAAATAATTTCATTCAATGTTCGATTTGCTTCTGTATGCCTTGGGGGAAAAAATGACAAGTGAATAAGTAACAGGATGTGGATCCTTGCACTGATTTGAAACTTGTCCAGTTGGGAGGAGGTCAGAGGTCACCACAGTCTGAAAGCAGTGGTCCACTTGTATGCAACCTAAAGGCTCCAGTCCAGTTTTGCAGGCATTACATAAAATTTGTTCTCCTAACTGGATTAGCAATCTTAGCAGTTAAGTCAGGGACAGCATGAGAGCTAGCTACTTTTTCAGCTAGTAGAGATAAGGCTTGAAGACAACATGTTCAGGTATTGCTGAGGGAACTGTGCTACATCTGGAAAGACAGAACTGTCATTCCAAAGCTTTCTAAAAATGTGGTTTGTTTGGGTTTTAATTTAATTTTTTTTAAGTTGACATAGATGGGTTCATTGGGCTAGCTCCTTGAGTGCTGTAAAACATCAGTGCTCCACTGATCTCCAGTCTACTCTTTGTACACTCAGCAAGTTTTATCAAGTCTTTGTGTGTTTAGCATGTTTTGTCAGAGACTAAGCCTCTCATTTGACATAGTCACTTTTTGAAGGATTCTGCCTGCCTTCAGTGAAGATGTTTGTGCAGTCTGTGATGTTCAGGAAACAATGTGTTCATACTGTCTGAGGTACAGCCAGGCAAAGATTCTGCAAAACTGACAAAAGGAGTAGCTATACCAGTGTAGCCATACCAGTGTAGCCTTCACAGCTGATTAGTTTTGTTGAGAACCCAGGCCAAAATAGACTGGACCGAATATCATACTCTTGGGTCTACTATCCCTGGGGCCTGAGCTTGTAGGCTGGTGCAACTCTGGTGTTGTGTAGGCTTATCAGCTCACTCCATGGGTTTCTCTCCAGAGAACAGTGTTGCATGGTGTGAACATAACCTTAATCAGATTATAGCTTTAGAACAATTTACAGGTTTCGAATGGTCTTGTTTTTTGTTTTTTTGTTTTTTTTTTTTTTTTTGTTTTTTTTTTGTTTGTTTTTTTTTTTTTAAAACAAACCAAGAAACAAAACAACAACAAACCAAACCAAAACACAAAAAAACCCCACCCACCAAAACCCAAAACCAAACCAGGTTCAATGAAACCAGAGGGAATCTCAGATTTTATTTGGAAAGCTAGAGGGAAACTGGCAGTGATGATACATGTTACTGATTTGTTTGTTCTGAAAGTCAAGAAGCTTTCCTTTCTTTGTTCTAGTGGCAGTGCTGTGGGGCTTTTGGAGCTGATGACTGGAACCTTAATATTTACTTCAATTGCACAGATTCCAACGCAAGTCGAGAGCGCTGTGGTGTGCCATTCTCTTGCTGCACTAAAGACCCTGCCGTAAGTGACAGTCAAAAGGATAGGGTGGGTCTATTGTTCCAATTTGAAATCACTCCATAAGTTTATTTTTTTTTCTGGAACTCACGCATGATCATTACCTTCTCACCAACCTGTATTTTTTTTTTCCATACTTGAAGCTGAATTTAGCCACTAACTTTTCCGCAGTCAGCAAAAATACTAAGCTGACTGAAGTCTTCATTGTATGCCATTTGCTGCTTGTTGTTAGAATGAGAGAACCATGGGCTTGGCAGAACATACATATTCCTTTTAGCAAGTATAGCAAGCAGAAGCCCTTCATGAGTTGAAGGATATGAGCTTTCAGTTGAATATCATCAAGGTATTTCATTCGCTGCTTTTAAGAACAGCAACTCTAAGATCAGACACTCCGAAGCAGATATTTATTTAATGCTGTGTCCAGAGGCTGCAGCCAGTTTGACCCATTTTGTGCTAGGTACGGTAATGACTGACAGTCTGTGCCCTGAAGAACTTGCATATGTTTGCATTAGACTCTTAGGTCGGGTATGGACACCTTTACATGCTCTTTTTTTATTTCCCTTTAAACTTACTACTTGTGCTACAGTCACCTGAGATCAGATTTAAAAGGTCAGAAATTGTTTGAGGGAGCATTTTTTTGGTAAATTTTCATGTCTTTTTAAATAGCTATCGTTCTGGATCATCAAGTAGAAAAGGTTGGAGTCGTGCATTACTAGTATGGATATGATCAGGAATGAAGGGTAAAGTTTAGGGAAGCAGTTCATTGGTAGCAAAGGGATGGGTGTGTGCATGGAAACTGTTATGTGGCTAACACTGCATATATTTGACTTGCATATAGTGTAAAAGAAGCAGCCTGTGTGTGCTTGTATTATCTAGTAGTTTAGCTGTGGCTTTTCCTCCACCTGGAGTGATTTACAGTTCCTTGAATGTACGAGTCTGTAGCACTGACTAAAGTTAGGCAAGTTGCCAACAGGCACCTCAGGTGCTTCCTGCTTTGCTAATGCAATGCGGTTGCTGCTCCCGGCATCCAGTTACCACTGCTGCTCTCCCTCTCTCCTGATAAGCCACTGTCACTTGCGCGAGCTGATTTCTGGTTCCTCTGCAGTGAACAAGTCTTCACATATTTTTAATGAAATCTTAAAACAAAAGGTAGGTTAGCTCAAGCATTATATTATGCTCAGGATTCCCCCTATTGTTTGCATATCTGCCCACCCACCCACACAGAGAGGTCATCACAACCCAGTTTTAAAAATACAGTTGTTATAAAACCAAATCAGTGACAACAGTACAAGGTAATCCTATAAATACATAATACATGCTAAAGTTATCTCTCTGTGTATATGATTATGCAGTTTCTTATGGGATGATGCGGCTACCAGAAATGTAAAGTTAAGTCTCATTCGTTGTAGGGAAGCAACATACTTAATTGCCTTTAAAATAAAGACTAAAAATAATAATATTTCTAAAAATAGTGTCATGCATGTAATGGATATTATTGTAACCAAGCTGTGACTGGTTTAGTTGCAGTGATAAACACAGGTTTATTCTGTGGGAAAGCACATTTGTCCCTTTCGGAATTAGGATGCAGTGTTGGACTGATGCAGAAAGTTATGTGGATGCCTTATTGAATGAGAATTAATTTTAGTTTGGCTTTTAGTTTAGCTTGAATCAGGAAGCGGTAAGTTGAAGGTAGGCTAAAATAAGTCTCCTTTAAAATGAATTCGGACTCCTATAGTTCACTTTGCTCCAAATTCCTGTACAGGCAAGGCCTAGAAAAATTAATTTATTTCCATTTCATTCTTCACATTTTCTTTTGGTTAACAAATTCCAAGGCTAAAGGCAGAAGACACTGATGATAAAGCAAGTAGGCATTCAGTACAAAAAAGAAAGCTTAAAATCCCTCTGTTGGAATCTTACATACTTTTACAGCCTTGAGGTGTGTGACACTTATATTTTAGATCCTGGAACAGAAGCATTCATCTCAGTAAAAGATACAGATTGCTCAGTCTGAAAGGTCCATTGAGGGAATCCAACTAGGACAACTGACAGGATGTGACCTATTGATGTACTTCCTGCAAAGTGAGGAAACACTTTGAGAATCTTCAACTGCTGATGGAAGGAGATATCTTTTTCCATCTGGCTGCTTTTAAAAAAATCTATTTCTCTGTTGGCTGCCTTTCTCGCTTTCAATGATTGAATTAAATTGTCGTGTTCAGTACACCTAGCTAAGATTGGCTGATTTTCTGACTTCCTTGAGTAGTTTATCCTTCTACTTACTGTTATTATATGAGCCAGTAACTTAATATTTTGCTGCCATTGTGTCTGATACCAAAAGTAGTTGCTTCGTTTTACTGCCCTGAAATAACTCTGTGTACAGAGTAAACGCCGCTTCAGCATCCAGTGGGTAGAACTTGTTCACTAGTAAAAGCCTGCCATAGCCTATTTAATACCTGTACTTTGGGAGTACTAAAGCAGAAACAGCAGGAAAAAAAAAACAAACTCCTTTTCCATTGGTATCGAGCTCCTCTAAGAAAGAATAGGCAGCAAGAACACACTACCCTATCTCTTATATTTCATCCCTAGTTTTTGTAAACGAGCTAGGTATTGTACATAGATCAAAACACATCCTTGGTAAGAACTCGAAGCTTCTGCAACAAAACTGCCCCTTCTCACCTCTTCATGGTGCTCAGACTGAATACTGAAAATGTTAATAGTAGTCTTGGCATATTTTCAGTATATAGACAAAACCTTTTCAGCAGAAGGTTCTTTCACTTAAAAATAAATGTTCCCTAATCCCTTTACTTTGACTTCCGAATGCTCGCATCTGGAATGTGGAGCTCACCCAGGTGGAGGGGCCAGTTTTCCAAGCTTGCTGCCCTGGGAGCTGAAAATATTTTTTGACCACTTGCTTTTGTTTGTTGCAAATAATTAGTAGCACTGAATGGAAGAGGAAGAGGTTTTTGAAAAGCAGTATGGTAACCAAAGTTAGGTTGATTGTTTTATTTACATACAGGACCAACTCTGGGAAACTGGGAGAGGGTGTTTGGTAGACACTTAACTAATTGCCTCTCTTCTGTCTCTCTCCTAGGAAGATGTTATTAATACTCAGTGTGGCTACGATGCAAGGCAAAAACCAGTAAGCTTTTATTTCTTTAAAATGTGGTATTTTAAAGATCCAGATCTCTCTTTGAAGAGCAGGTTGTTCTACTGATGAGATAGTTGAATGTAATTATGTTTGTTTTATTCCTTCTCCTTGTCAGGAAGTTGATCAGCAGATCGTTATCTACACTAAAGGCTGTGTCCCTCAGTTTGAGAAATGGTTGCAGGACAATCTTACCATAGTTGCTGGTATATTCATTGGGATAGCATTACTGCAGGTAAACATCACATTCCCTGTAATGGATTACACAGAGGAACAACAGATAAATAGAATATATGAGGAGGGAACTCTATATGAGAACTGGACATACGGTTTCAGTTGCACTTCGAAATCTAATGTTCGTAGGCTTTAGTGAGGGGAGCTGAATGCATGAGGCTTTCTTTGTGTTAAGGAGTATTTAATTTTTATCTGTAGGGTTGCATTTTTTTCATTTCAGCTGTCTGCAGGTCAAGACTAACACTCTGTGTTAGATAAATATTAGGCAGAGTTTTTTTAAAACTGTATAGACCTACTTTTTCTGATGGAACTTAAATGAGCAACAAAAAGCCTTTACAGTTGCTTTTGTGAAACAAGTTTGGAACTGTTCAATTTCCTGGAACCCAGTGACACTATAAAAATACTGGGATTACAGGAAGTTTTTTATTTTCTTTCTTCTTCCAACACTTACTGTTAATTTGATTTCAAACTTTCTGTTGCTTGTTTTCTTATCAAAGTTCTGTATAACCTGAAAAGTTTGCCTGTATGAAAAGAGTTGTCTGATGCTCCAAATGACTAAACTCTTGTCTCTTCCAGATATTTGGGATATGCTTAGCCCAGAATTTGGTTAGTGACATTGAGGCTGTCAGAGCCAGCTGGTAAAACTGCTGAAGTAACTACAACAAGACACTGGACAACTGAAACCCTCTGAAACCTCCAGTGTGTCACTGACACCAAGCTGTATGGACATGGGTGACAGGGAAGCCTTCTCTCCCAAGCAGTCTCAAGTCTAAGTTCCTGATACTGCAGAAAACTCGTGTTTCTTTGGGGTGGGGGAGAGAAGAGTGGGCTATTTAAAATCTGCTGCTCACTGACAATTTTTTTCTTTAAAACCACCAGTTTGAAAGCTGTTGAGCCGTGAATCTCTACTGTATTCTTGATCCTGAGTAACAAGTGGACACTTTTTTTAAATTGGTGTATTCGGTGGGACAGAGTTGCATCATTGTAGTCTGTGGATATGCTGTTAATTCTTCGTGTCATGAGCTCTTCGATAGCTGCCAAATATTCCTGAGATGGTTTCCCTCCTCACCACTCTGTAAAGGAACAATCTTCTTGTTTTCACAGCTAAACATAGCTACAGGCCTAAACCCATCAAGCAGGAAGCAACTTTCTATGCATCTATTGTACAGTAAAAGAAATTGTTTTTAAAACAAGGGAAAATTTTTTTTTACGCAAGCTTCCAGCCATCTCCCTATAGTACTTGGAGGTTGGAATCAGCAAGCTCACAGGGAGAATTGCCTAATTTTATCAACAGTTTTCTTCCTTCTCCACCCTTGTATGAAGGGAAAGGAGTTTTATATTTGACAAACAAGGGTTGTAGAGCCTTTGGTTGCTGCCATACCTTAGGACATCAGTCTCTTAAGGCAAGGATGGGATATAACTGTATAAATGTATGAAAGCAGCGTGGATGTTGGGTCCAAGTGAATAATATTATTCAAAGAATGAATTATATATTAACTTAAAAAAAATCAAAACGTATGTATCTGATATGGCTAAACCTTTTTTTTTCTCTGGAATTTAGTGTAACCTAATGTATTTAGGGATCTCACTAATATTAGTGCTTTGATATACTTGTGCAAAGCTTCTTTTAAGATAATTCCTTGGTCTGTTCCTAGCTGAGGCTTTGGTGTTTCTTTTTTTCTTTTCTTCTTTTCTTTCATTCTTTTTACTTGCATGAGCTGTGGAGTAAGAATCTGTGACACTCCGGTGCTTTAAATCTGTGCATATGTTTTAATACAGTCTAATCCAAACTTATTTATTGGTAAATGCATGTGATTATGGAAAGATTGTATCCTGTTCCCTTGGAAGTTGGAGAGAACAGCTTTTGCCAGCGTAAATACTTACCTCCAGTAAACAAATCCTTGCGATGGAGATGTGTCTCTCTTTGTTGCTTTAGATGCAACAAAAAGCTTTCTTAAAACAATGGAATAAAAGTTTTTAAATAGAAGCGCATATTAGGATCAGCCAAGACAGACTCTTTTGAATTGGACAAAAGAGAATAGAATTTGGAATAAAGCACAAACAATGGAAGAAGAATTAGATCAGAATCCATCCAGCTTAGAGTTTTTGATTCATTCTTCTTCACTAATAATAATGAACTTACAAACCTGGGTAGTTTTATTGCACTTTGTACAAATTTAGCTTGTTATATGACCCTTCTCAGTATCTGCAGAACCAGTCCTGAAAGCTGTGAGCTCTTGGCTCATACTTTGGTCAGCCAGTGGTAAAGGGCATATAGCCCCTCGTTGAAAGAGCTTAACATCTTTCTTTAATGAGTTTCCTAAAATTAAGAATGTGGAGTAGAAGAGATGGATGCATTGCTTTCAAAGCTTCCCTAGTCTGGGGGATGGATAGAAGGCTGGTCTGATGACTTAAGGTCCTTTCTGGACCTATGACTCTTAAACATGTGAGTATATATACCCTTGCACATTTTCCCTTTCAGTGCTTTAGTCGGCTGTGGTTTTTTTCCCCTCTGAAGACTGGTGGTAGGCACACTGGTGCTCCACAGATGCCTCAGACAGTCCTGTTGTCCTCCTGTCTTTGAGAATTACCTCATCCTCTTCTGGTTAACTCCCACTGACTGGCTCTGAATCAGGCAGCCTCCGTATCCTTTGGTATCTGCTGTTAAAGGCCAGCCATGACTCAGAGTAATTTTTTTTTTTTTTAAAAGCCTTTGAAAGCAATTATAATTCACTGTCCTTAATAAAAAGTTGGTTCCACCTCACCACAGTGTTATGTTTTTCTTAGCCACTCCTGAACTTGAGGAGTTACTGGTGTCTGTTTTTCCACCACGCGCCCCCACCGCCCCCCAAAGGGACACACTGTTTTGCCTAATAGCAGGACACACAGATAATACCACTGTTGCTGCACTGAGGCAAAATGGTGTGGGGAGAAGTCAGGGAAGTGTGGTTGAGGAAGTAGCCCTTCCACCCAGAAGCCTTGATTGTGACACAGTGCTTTGGTTTGGAGGAAAAGAAAAAAACTCCTACATTACGGAACCATTCCTTGTTGCCACTGATCTTGAATACTGCTGTTGCTGCTGTGGGCTTCTGAAGACAACTTCATTCTTCTACTTGAATTTCTGCAGTTGTACTGTATATGACCTTCTGTCTTGTCACGCTGTTCTCTGAGTTCCAGTCTGCTGGACGTGCTGTTGGCAGTGTCAGACTGATAGGAAGGTAAATGCTCTGAGGTGAGCAAATCTTGTTCTCACTACTTGCACATGTACACACAACTGTGCAACACTTCTGCTGAGTCCCAGGATGACTGACTGTTCTTATAGAAACCACTAAATAACTTATTTTTCTAGACCTTGTCTTTATTGCTGCAGATGCTGATCCTCCTCCCAAAAGATGTTTATTTTCCTCATTTTTGCAGTTGTTTGATGGATGCATACTGAATGTGCAGGATAAGTGTGCAATATAGACAGCTAAAATCCCACATTTTTTTTGTATACAGTTTGGGTAAGATGTTCTAGAAACACCCCATCAGCAGTTACTCAGCAGCTTAGGTGTCCAGTTTGGAAAGTTTGTGGGAGGTCTTTCAGATTGATCTATTATTGTCAGAGCCTGCTGAATGCAAGCAAGCTTTCTTCCAAAAGGCTTTGTGAAAACTTCAGGTGGGCTGCAATTAGAGCACAACTGCTGGCTACATGGGCTTATTTTCTAAAGCAATAAGATACAGTAGGTGGTATGACTTCTTGGCAATTTCTTGCCTGCCTGGTGTGGTGGTGGGGTCGATGTGAGTTCAGAGGTCAGTCTAATTATCTTTAACATGCAGTAGTTGTTCAGAAATTTTTGTCAGGCTTACAGCCCTTGCGGAGTGTGAAACAGCTCTGTTTGCTGGGCGATTCGTATGGGGTGGTGGTGTTGTGAAGGAAAGGTCTGGTAGCTTCGGTAGTAGCCCTGGATTTGAAGCCCTTTCCACATTCCCCACTGAGCACTGCCAAAGGGCATCACAGTCCTTGCTTCTCTGCTTTCTAAATACTTGCCATATTCATAGGCCTTTTTGTTGTTTGATCTCTTTTTCTTTTCTTTTTTTTTTTTTTTTTTTATTAATAGCCTAATGGACAAATGTTTGATTTGTCTCTGCGTGTCTGTTTCAGTAGCAGTAGGATCTCTTTGCTTCAAAATCCATAATTTTGATTGTGCCCTTTAGAGTTTGGAGCTGTGGAGATGTTTGCTCAAGTGTATTCTATCCTGAAAGCCACCTTCTCTCCCCTTTGCGAGAGATGCTAATTGTAGTTCTGGTGTGTAAATAGTTTTTGAAATGTAAATAGTAGCATGCAGATTACATGATTCTTGCACATGACTGCTTTTCACCGTAAGAGTGTTTGTTACAGATTGGAAAGGTGTCCACCATGAGAGTTTGCTGATGGAAACACGGTGCTGGTTGGGCTTAAGGAGTGCTTTAATCACCTGCCCAGCAGGAATGCCGCGGGCCTGGGGGCAAGCCCCAGGCACCCATGTGGGCCCTGGCCCAGAGCAGGCCTGCTCTCACCTTTTCCCTTTGCTCCTTGGTGTTGGAACAGCATTAGACTATAAAATGGAGGGTAGGAGTCAGCACCCCCTACCAGTCATGGGATGTTGCCATCACTTGTGGCAGGACTAAACATGGTGCTATAAGAACTGTCCTGGACGTTAATCTGTGTTTTTACTACTTTAGAGGTGCCCTTGGTAAAATTGAATCTGATTAACAAAGTTGGTTACCAGAGAAACTCTCATGTGAATTTGTGATTCCATTTCCTTTCTTGCTGTGTGTGCCTTTTGGGTGCATTGAAATGGCAGTTCTGCAAATACCTAGGGAGGAGATTAGATCTAAACAGGTGTCAAAGCATGGTTGAGGGTTCCAGTTCCTCGCTCCCATTTTTGTTTTCGCTCTGAAGCATTTTCAGGTTCTGTAATTGATCATGAAACTGTCTAAAGCAAACAAAATAAAACTACCTTGTTGGATCCACTAGCTACCAAATTTTGCCACTTGAAGAAATTCAAGAATAAAAATAAAAATCTGTCTCCTTTAACGTGCAGTATAAAAATCAGTGTTGTGACTACTAGCGTGCACCAGGCAGCACAGCTAGCTGTCTTGTGTTCTGGCAATATAAAGGTGTTAATGAAAAGCTCCATCTGTATGTGTGTTCATGTTCATGCTCTGTATGTAGTAGAGATGGACCTGATACTACCCTGAGCTCTGGGTAGTTTGGGATTTGGGTTTTATGACTCAGACCTGTCTCTTGATACATGTATTCCAGATTAGTTCTAACTGAATCTCTGGTTCATCCTGGGGTGTACGGCAAGCTGTCGATATTTACCCTTTGTGTATCATTCCTTTTTATACGAATGTATTCTCTTGTGTTCCTTTTTTTTTTTTTTTATCAGTTGTAAAATTGATTGTAAAAGCCAACTACACTTACCGATTGAAAGTATTGCTATAACAGAACTGCATGCCCAGTAGAGTTTGACTTGAGCTTTAGTTTTCTGATTTCGGACTGGTTACCTTCAGTCTAGGAGAAAAGCATAGATCAGGTGCATAATGTATTACTTGTCATCTTTAGCATTAAACTGTGGTATTGTATCACATACTGATCTCAATGGATGTAACTGGAGTCTACTTAGGAAGTTAATGCAACTTCCTGGTAATTCATTTTAAGCTATTGAAAGTGGTCTTGATCATGCTACTTGTGCTCTTGTTTTTTTTTTTTTTTTTTTTTTTTTTTTTGTTTTGTTTTCTGTTTTTTTTTTTTTTTTTTAATAGAGGCATTTTTTAGGAATGTTTTAATACACTTATGATGGACAATACAATAGTTTTAATAGTTGTGCAGTATTCTGTATTTACTTGAAGTAAATCATTTTATATGCAATTTGTTAGATAATTACAATTTTATAAATAAAATTGCGTGAAATCTGATGTTGTGAACGTGTACTCTTGGTGTAGCACTTAACAAAGCTTCGTACCACTAATGTTCATGCAAAATTTTTCCAGAAGACCTCCTGTCTGCCCTTCACCGAACAAACAGGGGAAAGAAATCCCCGTGTCTCTCAGACAATGTAGAACGTTGTGTTCTGTTAAGTCACAAAACACATTATTATGCTGCCAGGGGCTGCCCTTTAACGAATAATAATCTAATATGTGAAGAGCACATCCCCATACGAGGAGATCTCATCTCTACTGTCAGCTGTTGTTGAAGTCTCTGGCTAATGAACATGCTCTGCTTCTTTTTGACAGGTTGTTGGTGTTCCTCAGTCTGCTGTGGCTGCTGGCTAGTACAGCTGTTGGAGCTCGCCCCCTAATCATTTTGGTGACCCTGGAGTGTTCAGAAGTTGCTGCTTTGCAAGGAGCAGCACAAAGTGGGTTTGTCGTGACTTAATGAAACTTTTGTAAAGGGAGGTGGGAATTTCACTTTCCTAAGTGCAAGAGTTGGCTTGTTTTATTGTGCAGGTGAAAATGGGTAATGCTGTCTTGTACTTGTTAGGCAGAAGTGGAAGATGACCAGTTTTTTTATTATTTCAAAAACTGTAGAGCAAGCTAATCCAATTCAGTATCTCAAACCTACAGTTTTGTGCACAAAACACCACTCTAACTCATTTAAAAGCACATCTCTGTATCCAAATTGAAGTCAAATGCCTTTTGCCTATTTCAGGCACGTAAATTTATCTGAACGTACAGAAATGACTTGGCAAAATAAGAATGCAGATGTGGAGGCCTTGGAGGGGGGGAGGGAAGAACAAAAGTCTACCAAAATGAAACAAAATTGAGGGTGTTGCCTTAAACCTTTGTAACATGCAATGGATGTGTTGCACATGGATAAGCCATTTTCACAACAGAGGAGGAGACTGGAGGTGGCTACCTGCATTCGGTCAAACAGACTTGCATACTGTTTCTTGGATTTGTAGCTAGTTACCATTTCTAGGACTTTGGAAACAAATGACCTTTTCCGGGTCTCGTGGGCTCAAAGCCCATATTGTTGGGGTTTGTGCCTTAGAAGTGCCTACGAGAAGTGAAGCTTTTCCTGCTGTGAAATGTAAAAACATACATGTGCTTTTTATCTTCCTGACTGGTGCGATGCTAGGCCTTGCAGAAGACATGCAGATGCAGACAAATGTAACACACCAGCGAGGTACCTCCTGCCCCGGGTAGTGTGGTGGCGGTGAATGTTTTAGCTTGGTTTGCTGTGGCAGTAAAATGAAAGGGCCTGATGCCTGGCATCACTGTCATAAAAATAGTCTGAGCAGCAGATGTCAAGCTTTGCTTAGATGTAATCTCTCTACTAAACATCTAATGAAAGCTATTGTCAGCAATTTCAATTCAGTCAACTTCAGTCGAGTAGTGAAATGCGCATGAGAGTAATGTCCTTAGATCCCCATTTCTCTTAATAAAAGAGGCTCAGAGGATAAAGGATGTACCAGCTACACAGAAGTGGCCTGCAGGCTGCAGCATGCCTCAGCGCAGCGTGTGTGTGCATAGATCCAGCCTCTTCAGTTACCTCCTCCTACCGCGACACACACCCACCTTTGCCCTTCTGCAGCTTTCCTTCTGTGCACAGGCTTCACGCAGATTTTATCTAGAAATGTAAGTCACTCTAGTCCATCCAGGGAAGCCACCTGAAAGTAGGATATCAGTGGTGGCCTTTGTGCTTGCTTGGACAGCAGAATCCCTAATAAAAATTTGGTGATAAGGATACAGCTAATACTGAACCTGAGCTCCAGTTAAACAACCAGGTGAATGGGA